TGTGTGTGTGTGTGTGTGTGTGTGTGTGTGTGTGTGTGTGTGTGTGTTTTGAAGCTGGTGAAAGGAGGGACAGTTTTCATTCAGTTATATGATGTTTGAGGGGACACTGAAGTCAAAATGTCAGGTAGGAGGATGGAGACAGATCAGTGCTTGGGAGGAGTCAGGGCTAAAGACAAAGATTTGAAAATTTTTCACAGTGGTATTAGTTGAAATTGAGTGTGGGTGAATTGTCTGAAGGAGGATCTAGAGGAGAGCTGCAGTGAGTAGTCAACCTTGGGGAATACCTACAGTTAGAAGGTAGAAGGAAGTAGAGGTCTTGGAGGCACAGGAGCAACTCTCCCAGTTGTGCCTGCAGTAATAGGGTAGCATTAGGGAAGCCCTGGGAGGGTAGATGACAGTTTCAGATACTACACTGTGAGGTCAAAGAGAATGAGGACTGGGAAAAGGATTTGGTGATTAGAATCTGGGCAGAGTATGTTTTCAGTAGCACTGAGGGCAGAAGCCAGATTGGAATAAATCTGGAGTGACTAGGAAGTAGAGATGGAGAGCACAGACCAAGCTGATGAAATGATGCTAGGCAGTGAAAGTAAGGACAGAAGAAAGATGGTAGCCAGAGCGGTCAGTCGAGGCTTCCGGGATATGTGTGAAAGACTAGGAGAGGAGGGGCTTAGCAGTGGGTGCTGACCTTGCAGGCCTTTGCCAGGCCATTTCTCCAGCCTAGAATCGTCTCCCTTCTGACCTCAGACTCTTGGAATCCCCAGCATCCTTCCAGGTTATTGTGCACACATCACTTCTTCCCTGAAGTCTTTCCTGTCCTCGTTTTCTCCCCCTCCAAGTTGTGAGTGCTCTTTCTCTCTCCTCCCATGATCTTGTACTTATTTGTGTATACATTACATTCCTCCTCTCGCCACAGAAGTTGTAACTACCTTGAGGACTAGGACGTTTTCATTATTGTCACAGAGAGGTGGCATAGTGGGTAGAGCATTCAACTTGGAATCTGGAGGACCCAAGTTCGGATCTTTCAGATATTTCGTAACTGTGTGACCCTAGGCAAGTCATTCAACTTAACAGCCTTGGCTTCTTCATCTATAAGATGGGGGTGAAAAAAGCACCTACCTCATAGAGTTGTTGTGAGGATCCAGTGACATAATAATATATGTCAAGCACTTTATATATTAGAGTGCCTTTTAAATGTTTGCTATTATTATTATCTGTGTAGCCCCAGGACATAGCACTGGGCTGTGCACATAGTGCTTAATTGTTTGGTTTTTTAGCTGAATTGACTATGACTTCAGCACTTACGGCACTCCTTATATGAAGAGGGGGTGAAAATGAATTTGGATAAGGTGGGTTGTGGTTCTCAGAAGAAAGGGAGGAGTGGTAGGGACATTCCTTCCTTGGCAGTTTCCTTTTTCTGGATTTCCAGGAGAATCTGCCTACATCTGCCCTCCTGTGATGGCTAGAGATTCCTATGAGTTTGAAGAACAGCCTCAGGCATAACTGTAGGGTTATGTGGAATATGTAGAATTAGCTGTTGGTCTGCAGTGTTTCCTGTGCTTCTGTTCTCTCATGTAGGAAGCAAAGCTTTTGGAGCAAGAACCCTTTTGAAACATGGTGTAGACATTTTTTATCGGGCATACTTAGTATGCCAGCGTGTCTTGTTGTGTTAGTGGTCATTAGAGTGCCCATGATTGTCTTCAGCACTGATGCTCCTTGGAACATGTAACCCCCAAACAGCTTCTGCTTAGCTTGTCTTGTCCATGGGCATTTTCTAAAAAGGAGGGACATCAGGCTAGCGTGACTGCTGGCAGAGGTCATTTTGTAGTCTGGAGTTACTACAGGACACTTTGCAAAGTAACAGTTTTTCCTTTTATTTATTTAGGATTTGTCTTGGGAGGAGCATTTGGAGTGTTCACTGCTGGCATCGATACAAATGTGGGCTTTGACCCAAAGGATCCCTATCGAACACCAACTGCAAGAGAAGTTCTTAAAGATATGGGACAGAGAGGAATGTCCTATGCCAAAAATTTTGCCATTGTGGGGGCCATATTTTCCTGTACTGAGTGTCTGGTGGAATCTGTAAGTGATGGCTTTCTGAAAGATTTTGGTTTGTGGACATTAACTTTTGGCATCCCTGCCTGATACAGAAGCTCTGGAGCTCGTGTGCCAGAAAAGCACAGAGACTATAAAAATTAGAGGCTCCTTTCATCACAAAGGCTATTTCCCAGTACTCTGTCTAGACAGGTGCCCTTTACAGAGACATCAAAGTTAGCTTTCTGTCATATGCACGTATTGGTGTTTTTCCTCCTTGAGAGCTAGAAACTGGCTTCCTTTTCCATATGAAGTTTGTAAGGTTATGATTTCAATTAATCTACCTGTGTCAAGCAGTAAGGAAGAGAGATTCTAGAATCCTAGCTGCTTTGGATCTTCTGGATAAGGTTGCCTTGGTGCCATCTGCAGAAGATGCCCAGGAACAAATCTAAACTTGAAGAATTGTCTTTGAATTTGCAACTCAAAATTTTAAAAAATAAACGCTAAAATTATTTTTACATATAATTGGAAAAAAATAGAATATTTGAAAAAAAGAATTGTCTCTGAAAAAGATGGCATTCTTGTTAGTGGGAAAATGAATTGACCAACTAGAAGGCTGTGATTTTATTTCTTAATCATTTTGAGCGATTTGTTTCTGTGGTACTGACCTGCATTTCTCAAATCCTACAGTATCGGGGAAAATCTGACTGGAAGAACAGCGTCCTCAGTGGCTGCATCACCGGAGGAGCCATTGGCTTTAGAGGTCAGTGGACCTCTCTTGTGGGAGCGTTCTTTGTGATTGTGGGCAGCAGTGCCCAAGGCATGCGCAGGCACCGGATGACCATCATCCCCTGACGTTTGCCATTAAGATTTACTCGCGTGTGAATGTTGATGTGCAGGTGGCGCTTCAGCACCATGGGGTCTAGTGGAAGGAGGGATGAATTTGGGGTTCCAGCCTTCTGTAACCCAGGCGAGTCTCTGGGAGTGTGTTTTTCATCTGTAAGAAGTAGGGGTTGGAGCCATCTACCTTGAAGGTCACTTCTAGTTCTAAAATCTTCGATTGTATGATCTGTGAAGGAATTAGAGATGAGGAAGAATCTGAGCAGTGACTGGAATGGTTATACTGAAATTAATTACACCATTGGGGCCTTATCTAGGTGTCTTTCTTCTTTCTTTGACTTTTTATACTTTTTTTTTAAAAAGTCATTTTCTGTTATACTGCTCCCCACCCCCCTCAGCTGAATTGTCCCGTATAACAAACACAAATTTGAGCAAAACCTGATCAACAACTGTGTCTCATTGGCTATGTAACACTTCACACTGTTGACCCCCAACTCTCTCCTAATTGGAAGGAGGAGGTATGTTTTTTCCTCTTTTCTCGGGGACCAAGACAGATTTTTGAATCGGAGGGCCTGAGATCAGACCTCACTTCCACTACTTACTACAGAAAAACCTTCCCACCTTCATCCAGCTGACCTTTACAGCCTCATTCCATGTTTCTCCACTTCCTGTGGTCTACTCAAATTGCCCTTCTAACTGTTCTTCATATATATTACTCGCTGCCATCTCTGGGCTTTGCTCAGCCTTCTCTCATGCCTGGAATACCCTCCCTCCTCCTGGGAATCCCATCTTCCTCAAGTCTCAGCTCCCACACATCACCTTCTACAGGAGGCCTTTCCTGACCTTTCCCTGCTAAATCACCTTGTAGATACATCAGTTTTGGATGGGAGACGCTGGCTTGTGTTGCAGTGGTGTGGTGTCCAGCTGAGAGAGCAACAGGGCCCACTCCTCTGTCCCTGTGAATTGTGTTTGTCCTAGTTTTACAATGTACTGTTATCTATGGTTTGCATAGATGTATGCATCTTTATTTGTATTGTTAAATATTTTTCAATTACATTTTAACCTGGTCCAGGCCCACTCTTGCTTGTTAGACACTAGAAAGCCCCAAGTTGTCTAAGGAGTACTGCATTGTAGGAGGAGTCTTCTTGTGGGTGAGGGTGCCAGTCTGCTGGGATCACGTATGGTCCCTGGCTGTCCTTGGCACACACCTCTGTCTATATGGCTGCTTGAGGGCAAAGACAATTTATTTCACCTTTGTTTTTGTATTTCTTCTGCCTGGCCCATAGTAAACAAACACTTACTAAATGCCCTGGTGATGGCTTGGTTGACTTAGGACAGTCACTTCATCTCTTGGGGACTATTTCATGTGGAAAACAAGGGAGTTTCATTAGATGATCTCTAAGGGTTCTTTTCAGTTCTGAATCCTTGATCCTGTGACCTGAGTTAGACAGGACTTTTGTATTTTCATTTACATTATTGTAGTTGTGTATATTATTCTCTTGGTTCTGTTCTCAGAACTGGACCACATTTGACCCCCTGAAGCATTTAGAAAATGTGTTTGGTGTTCGAGGAGACATTTCATTTAGCTGCCTCGTGGCAGCTGGTCCCCTTCTGTTCAAGCGGAACCAAACACAGGCACTCTGATGACGTTAGAAGAGTGGCTTTTTCAGCATTTCAGGTTCTAATTCCCCTCCATTAGCATAGAAGTTACAGGTTACTTTGTTATTAAGCTGCCATCTGTTGGTCAGGTTGGTGCAGATTCCAAGGAAGCAGCAGGATTGCTCAGCGGCTGTCCAGCTACCATCACCTCCAGCCTTGCCCAGAGCCAAAATCCTCTTTTTTGTTTGTCCATAATTGCCGAAAGACTTGTTATTATTCCCCCTGCCCCCATGCCTTAACCAGACAGTTGTATTTGCTAGAAGAGTAGGTAGAGCGAGCTGCGCCTCTGCTGAGTCTCCTCCCGCCTTCGAGCAGATTGGCTGCCTTCCCCCCCTTCAATCGGCTTCTCAGGAATTCATTCTCTAAACCAACGTCAGGGTGACGGGCTGTCTGCTTTCCTTGATCCCAAGGCTGATGCTCTTAGACAGGGTTCCCGTTTGAAAGAAGCTCTTGCCATGGAGGTGACCTGATTAATTCTCTGGGACGGCAAGCCAAATGAACATGTGGCTAGACGCTGCAGGGAGGCCTCGCTGGCCTCAGTCGAATTGGTTGCTTTGTCTGTGTGCACACAGTTCTCCAGCTAAAACTCAGTCTGATGTCTCTTCCATATCTGGGGGGTCTCATCTCTGTGTTTGTCTTGCAGCTGGTTTAAAGGCTGGGGCTATCGGCTGTGGAGGTTTTGCTGCTTTCTCTGCTGCGATCGATTATTACTTACGATGAGAGGAGCTTCTCCTGGGTGAGGAGCCCAGCACCCCATCAGGAGCCATGCAGTGGAGGAGGCCTGTCCTTTAAGGACTTTGCCTGGACCATGAAGGTGAAAGATTCACTAGGTTTGTTTCCCCTTTTCTTGAGTGGTGGTTGACACAAGGCGGGCTCTGTTGGCTGCCACCGCTGCCTCCAGTTTCATGAGGAGCTACGCTCGGCTCTTTCCAGGGGCTGGCAGACTGTGTTTCATGGTGATCCCCAGTCCTTCCTGGACTCCCCTCAGAAATTTCTAGTGAGAGATGCCACAGAAGAGCCCCATCAAACAGTTTGTTGACAAGGAATTATGAATCCTGACTGCAACTATCCAACCTGCCTTTGTTACTGCTAAAATAGACATTCGTTATTATCCTATGTTGGGATTTATTGCAAGGAAGATATCATGAGGTCCCCTCATTTGAGGGAAGGGGGAAGGTGTAGGGGGCAAAGTAAAATTTACTTGTTCCCTCTAGTCCATTCTGAGGCTACCAGCAGGCCATCCTTGCTGTGGGAGTTGTATATTTAAATACAGTTTGAAAAGACAAATTTGACAGTCTTTTTCTCTCTTGTCAAACTCTTCCCAAAGCAGGGCTTGGGTATCTACCCTGTGGCTCAGAGGGAAAGGGGCTGGGAAGTTGTGGCTGAAGCCAGGCCTGAGGGTGCACACAGGGATGTATCCGTTGTTGGAGAGCATTACAAACGTTCTCACTAAATATCTCCCTGGGACGCATGACGTCCTCTGTGGCTTCTTAAAAAAAAAAAACACAAAACACCTTTTAGCTTATTGACAGGCATGTTTCCAGTTGGCTGGAGTGGTACTCGGTTGGTTTTCTGACCACCAGACATCGGCTTAAGGAGACAGGTGTGAACGAGCCCCGCCCCATCCTTCAGTGGCTCCAGTGGGAGTTGTTGAGCGGGTTGTCTGCACTCCCTCTGTTCTGATAGCCAGCATCAGTCTCAGCTTTGACTGAGTCCAGAGCAGCCAAATGGAAGCGCCAGCCACTGACCTTGCTTCCACAGTGCTACATTTGGCAGAATCTGTTTGTTTTATACCTAAAACTTGGCTGTCTCAGGCCAGTTTAGTGCATAGATGACTATCAGAAAGAAAAGGCCCTCAGCCTAATAGGAAAAAGGAAAAAAAAAAGTTTGGGTGCCTGGCGAGAGACACTGCTCCAATGTGACAAGTTTGAGCTGCTGTCCATCCTAAAGGATATTTTTATTAGCACAAAATCTGGATACCCTATCACCATCTCATATCAATTTATAACATGCTTTCTATTTTATTTTTTTTGCTAGGCAATGGGGTTAAGTGACTTGCTCAGAGTCACACAGCTAGTGAGGGTTATGTGTCTGAAGCCCTATTTGAACTCGGGTCCTCCTGACTCCAGGGCCAGTGCTGTATCCACTGCGCCATCTAACTGCCTTGTATAACATGCTTTTTAAAAAGGACCCACTAAATCCACAATAAATGTATCTCTGCACAGAGAAGCAATTTGATTAAACCAGGCAGGAGAATGCCTAGGGTAGGAGGACCTAGTCTGGGAATGGGGAATGGCATTCCTTAAACTTTCACTTTGACATCTCAGGCAGTTATCGTGCTGCTGGGATGGACTGGGTGGGGTCCCAGCTATGTACCCCTTTCCCTTTCCATCACACTGTGCAGCCCCCTTCGCTTTGTCTCTTACCTGCTTTATTACCTTGATTTTCGCCCTCTTTCTTTCATCACAAAGCAGGAGTCAGAGAATTCGCCCAAGCATTTACAGCTTGGGGGTGCTTCTGTACCTAGGCGGTGTTGTCCACCATGACCGGTAACACCCTTCTCTGGCTGTGGCTGCCCATGTCTCTTGTCTCCTGTGCAGTGCAGGGGCCTACACATCCCCACAGCCTTCTAATAATGAATTCTAAATCACGCCTCTCCTAAGATCCCCGAGTGTCAGACTGTCATTGCTACTCGTCTTGATGTTTCAGTGCTTAATAGTTCTTTCAGGGCAAACAAGTGCTGATAGAGTGGTTCGAACATCTCCACCTCTCTCCCATATGGGCATTTTTGGGAAGCATGGAGGCAAGGAGTTTGCTAATCCTATGAGATTACCTGTCAGAGCATTAGGATACCTCGACAGCCAGCTTGAATAGCATCCAGCCTCACTGGTGGCGTGAATCCCTGAATATCATTATTAATGAATCAATGAAATGCTCTATTCCCCATTGCCTTTGAAAAGATGAGCTCTGTGGAAGTTGGTTCAATAAACTGAGCACTGTCAGAATTGACTATTCAGTCAGAAGAGGAGATGAATGGTTTCCTGTTTTAGATGGCCAGATCTATAGTATGAGCTCATAAACTAAACACTAATTTTCAAAGACATCTGTTCCCTCTCTCCAGAATAAACATAGTGTTGGGTGAGCTTTGGCCTGGCGTGAGCCGGCATTAACCCTACTGGCACCCTTGGATGAGAGCTTGAGGACTTCACTGTATTTCAGCCCCTTTATGGACACGATGCTTTTTATAGTAGGCCTGGCCCTTGCCAGAGAACAGCCTCTGTCTTTCAAAAGAAAATTTGGGAAAATGTAAGAGAGAAAACCTATTGTGCATGCTTGAAAACACAAGATCTGCCTTTTACCCACCATCCAGCCACTTTTTGAGCTCCCTCACCCTCTGAACTTTTGGGGAACTGGCATCCTACCAGTGGGGCACCAGCTTTCCTAGCTGAGACCAGGGTGGCTGGTGGCTAACACCAATGAGCTTACTCAACCAAGATCCAAGGAAAGGGCTGAGAAGCCTTCTTTCTTTAAGCTTGACTCCATCGTTGACATGAAGGGGAGGTGCGTAGCTGAGAAAGCAGCGTTCAGGAAACTCACATGTGGATGCTGCTGACACAGAGAGTTAAGGATTTGGATTCCAGGTCTTCCTTGGGCCACTGAGAAAGCAAACATCCACACCACAGGGTTGTTTTGTGCAAATGTTGGGGCTTTGCATTTTTATTAACATTTTCCTCTCACATGGTTTACATCCATTTATAATAATCTACATAATTGAAACAACACAGACAAAAAAAATATATCCTTACCAACTTATTAAAGTCAAATTATTAATGAACAGTCCTATCCTACCTGTATCCGCAAAACTCTCCAGATCTCCCAGGCCCCTGCACGGAAGAGGGCAAGGCGATGTGGAGTGGGGGAGGATACCTGCAGCCTATTTTCGGGGGCCCTGTTGTTAACTCCATCTGTGCCACACAGCAGGCTACCATGGCTGGGGCCTGGGCTGCATAGGCCAAAACTTGAGAAACCAAAGGATCTCTCTCTTGTACAGCTTTGTCCTGGCTTAGTACCTATCCTTTCTTCCCACTGGGGACTTTTAGATATATAAATATTTTTATTCTTTTACCTTCTCCTTAGCCTCTACTTTTCTCCTGCTTCCTCGTCTCCAGGTGGCAGCAGCTGATGCCCCAAGAAGCCAGAAGTCACTCCTCTTTTCCCACTGGCTTCTTGGTGGGGGCCTTGGGGAAGAGGACTCCTCTTCAGCTGCTGCCAGCTCCAGTCAGGCTTTCTCTCCAGCCCTGGGACTTGATTTGGAAGCCAAAGAAAGGGTCCATGGTACAGAAGGCTAACTTTGGCGTGCCAAGGCTACTGGGCAGCTGGGGCCTCTGGACTTGGGGATTCTCCTCTTTTCATCTGTATCCTTGTACCTCTGCTGCCAGTGGGTCCCCTCTCCCATCACCCTTTTCCTTTTCCTGACATTGCTAGAGCATGGCCATATCCAGCTCCTGGGCAAGGGAGAAAAAGAGGACCAGAGAGGGGACTGCTTCTCACTGAAGGGGCTGGCATCTTCCATGTGCCCTTGATCAAAATTCGGCCATGAGCACCAGCCAGGCAAGCTGGTCTCAGCTTCCAGGAGGCCAGGAATAGACTGATGGCACTCTTCTTTCAAATGCAGGGAGCCCTACCTTTGTACAAGTGGACTCTTTATCATGTCACCGTGTGGACAGAAAACTCAGCGGGCTATCCAGGCCTAGACCCAGGGCTACAGATGTGGGGACTTCCCTCCTCTTCCCAGCACGAGGTAGCCAGTCTCCCAGGCAAATCAGAATCCAACTTGGAGTTGCCAGTGTTTGGCTGGGAAGTGCCAGCACTGGGAGTGCGTCAGCCCATCGGAAGAGCAGTCCTCAAAGAGGCCAGATGGCTCACTTCCTCCAGCCCCCTTCCCGCACCTGGGTGGGAAGGTTACCGCCAGAAGCCAGGCAGGCAGGAGAAGCGAGATCCAAATGGACAGCACCACGGAGGCCGAGTGTAACTATTGTGCCCAGGCCTCGTCGTGCCCAGGCCTCGAGCTGTTCCTCCCCCAGGTGCTCTGGCAAGGCAGGAGAGGGGGTCAGTGCTGTAGCTGACCTACCCCCTGCTGGCTGGGGCAGGGGCAGAAGGGGACTTCAGAGATCCTACTGGATCTCCCCGAGGGCATGACGGGCTACCCTGTGGCAGTGCCTGGCTGCAAAGCACACAGGTCTAAGGCAGAGTTACTGAGGAGGTATGACAGGTGCCAAGGGCTGAGTTCTACTGCCTGCTGAAGGCTGCCTTCTTTTCTGGGCACCTGGGTCAGTCCTATTTGTGGCCCCAAGGGAGACAAGGCCCAGCAGGACAATAGTTGTTAGCCCCTCACTCACAGAGTGAGTCCTTCCCTGCCCCATCTCCCACCCCTCCCCTTAGGGACCCCAGGGGTATACTCGGTACCTCTCACTTTCCAACCCGTGAACACAAAATGGGGAGAAGTGGCCCAAACTCTTCTGAAGTTTCCCCAGGATCAGAGATCTAGAGGAGAGGAAGGAGCCTCAAGCTCTTCTAGTCCAAGACCTGTATTTGGCAGATGAGGAAACTGAGGATCAGAGGGGAATGACATGCCCAAGGTCACACACACCTTTGTGAGTTAAGAGGTCCCCCAGACCTTCTGGCTGGACAGCAGGTCGCCTGCCATGACTCTGCACACAAAGGAAATAGAATACCAAGGAGGAAGGAATTGAAAAGCAAGGGAAGAAAAATCAGGTGATAATCCCTCCTAGAGATGGGGTTATAAAGTGGGGAAAGGAAACAAGGAAGGACCCTTATAGACACACTCTCAGGAACAGCAGCTCCCACAGTTGTCTCTGGGCACTTGCTCAGAGAGTGGGGAGTTAACGCAGCCCCATCTTGTGGTCCTCACTGTCCTCACCGGTGTCAAGGCAAAACAGGACACAGCACCGCGGAGAGCTATCCCAGATGAGCAGACCCAGGCTGAGGCTTCACATGCAGAGGGGTGTGGGGTGGGAGTTGGTAGAGGGAGCGAAGAGAAGGGGCTTCTGGGAGCAGTGCCAGGAGAGGGCAGCTTGGCAGAAGTCACACAGAGCAAACAAAAAACCTCTGCATTTAGACTCAGGAGAAATGAAAATGCCGGAGGAAAGAAAACCACAGAGCAGGCTGTCTGGGTCCCCAGCCTGAGTGGGCCACTACCTTTTCTTCGTGACAAATATACATAGGACAGTTCCTGAACACCACGGGGCATCAGACGTGAGCGGAAGTACAGAGGGGCAGGGATGGAGCACAGCGGGGCGATGGGGGTAGAGAGGGAGGACGAGGCCAGCTTTGTACAAGGCTGCACAGGAGACGCGCACATTCCGGTTGTCAGAAATCTGCTTCCCTTGTGGTCTGGTTTGCTCCATCTGGTTTTGTGGGGTGGTCGGTTGATTGGATTTTCAAGTCTATGCTGAGCCCCAGGGCCAAGTCGGGAGGGACTGGTGCCCCCGTGGTGGACCCCATGCCACCCATGCCTACGCTAAACGTCCGTGGAGAAGTACAGTGTGTTCCGTTTTAGTTCCGCAAAGGAGATGGGAGGATGCTGCAGGTAATAAAGGAGGACCTGGACCTACGGAGAAACAGAAGGGAAGCCGTGAGGGCTGGAAGCTGCCCCCCACCCAGTGCCACAGTCATCCTGTGGGGGAAGAGAACTCCTTGGCCTGCTTCCCTCAAAATCCAGCACATGAACATTCCCATAGCCTCCCCAAAGGAAGCACAGGAAAGGACCACAGGGTCACACACCAAGAGCTCGGGGGCCTTCGAGCCCAACCTGGTTATTTTGGAGATGAGGAATCCCAGCCTTGGGGAGTGTTGGGGATGGGATCTGAACTCAGATCCTCTTATTCCCAAAGCCAGTGCTCTCTTCATAAATGCTTGTTGACCCATCGAATGGGGCGGGTTAGGAGGGAAGGCATCTTCTTTAGACAGCACCAAGTTGGCTTCATCCGACAGCCTAACCCAGGCAGCGGGGCGGGCTGCCCGGGCTGCTGAGGTTTCCAGACTGAGATGGAGAAAAACACCTTTGGACCGGTCTGCCCGAGTGGAGCAGGAGCCCCCAGAGAGCCGGCATGGGAATCCGCTCAGTCAGCAAGTGTTCACTGAAGTGCCTGGCTCTGTGCCAGCTGCTGGTGCTGACTGCTAGAATGGCCAGGTGTGGGGCTGCCTTTTAAGTCACCTGGGATGGTCAGCCATCCTGGGACCGAAAACGGCAACTCTCTCCTCTGACCAGCGCTTGCCTGCCTTCTGCGCCCTCCGCCTCTCAAGCCTTAGGGGAGCTCAGGGACGAGTGACTCTAAGCCTGGGGTTCTTAACCCTGTTTGTATCCTGGACCCTCCTGGGGGTGTGGGGAAGCCCATGGACCCTTCCCAGTAGTAGTTTTAAATGCATAAAACACATGGGATTACAAAGGAAGCCAATTACGATTAAACAGTTTAAATATATATATATGCACACACACCGACACACAGACACACACACACACCCGCCTCCAGCAAGCAAGCTCACAGACCTCAGTTTACAAAGCCTTGTTCTACCTCGCACATATAATCAATATCGTTGCTTCCCTTCTCAAGGGACGGGGGGAGGGACACAATTTGGAATTCAAAAATTTTTTACATGTTAAAAAAAATTTAAATGTAATTGGGAAATATTTCATAAACTATTTTTAAAGGAAAAAAGAAAAGAAATGCCATCCTGAGTGCCAGGATTTCAGCCCCTTTGGCTCACTGACTCCCTGCTGTTATGTATTAGGGAAGCTCTGGGATGACTGGCCCTGAGTGAATCCCACGTGGCTTTTCTTCCACAGAGGACAAGAGCCACAGAATCATGGGAGTTGGAAGAGACCTTAGGGGCTACTGAATCCAATCCCCTCATTTTACAGATGAAGAAACTGAGGCAGAGGGGTTAAGTGGCTTGTCCTGGGTCTAAAGGAAGGATTTGAACCTGTCTTCCCTGACGCCAAGGCCAGTGCCCCCTCCACTGTGACGTGCTTCCAGGGTTTCTGGGGGTGCTGGGGCATGGGGTGTGTGTGCGGAAGGAGGAAGAGAGAAATCCTAGCACTAGTGTGGGGTCCTGGGGAACAGGGTCTGCCTTATTCTGAGGAGAGGACTTCTAGTCCCCCCAGCACTGTGGGGGTGGGGCATCCTACAACTCGACCTCAGTGGATGTCTCCTGAGCCGGCTGCAGGGAAAGGGGAGCTGGTGGATCATGTAATCCCTCTTCCGGCCCTGCAGACCACATGTTCTTTCTAATAGTGATCACTAGCTTTTCTATAGAGCCTTAAGGTTTGCAACGTACTTTGCAAATATTATCTCACTGGATCCTCACACCCCTCTGAGAGGTAGGTGCTGTTCGTCCCCCCATTTCACAGACGAGGATGCAGCTTAACCTAAGAGAAGTTAAGCAGCTTGCCCAGGGTCACACAGCTAGTCAGTGTCTGATGCAGGATTTGCACTCAGGTCTTTCTGACGCCACGTCCAGCTCCCTCTACGGGGAGTGCTCAAGGAGGCACGGCTTCTCTCAGAGCAGATCTTGAGAGCTTCCTGTGGCACTGAGAGGCAAGTGCAGGGTCACACCGCCAGGATGTATCAGGGACAGTATTTGAACTCGAGTCAGGCCCTTCATCTCCTGTGCCATGCTTGCCCTCTGTTCTTTCTCCTGGGGTGCCCGAAGGAGGCAGGCTCTGCTCCCACTCCCCCTCTGCTGGTGGGAGACAGAGGCACCCCACCTGGTGATTACCTGTGCCATGACGTCGTGGGACCAGATGTCCGAGGCCGAGGTCAGGTGTCCTTTGCTTTCCACCTCAGATGGTCTCAGTAATGTTGGGCCAAACACAGTGGCCAGATTGTGAAGGGACATTTTGTTGATGGGTTCCTTTTCAGCAACCCTAGGGGAGACAGCGTGTGGTCATTTCTGCCCTGGGGTCCCTGGAGGAATGGCCTGCCCATTCCCTAATGCATCCCCTACCTGGAGGCGGAGGAGCTCGAATCCTTTTGAGGATGGGCCTTGAAGGGATGGCTAATTTCTAGACTGTAGGTTCAGATCTTAAAGATATCTTCAAGGTCATTCGTCCAAGCCCTCATTTTACAGAAAAGGAAACTTAGGCTTGAGGGATTCACAGCATCACAGACTTAGAGCTAAAAGGGACCTTACAGTTCACTGAGCCCAACCCTCTTGAGCTGACTTCTTTTTTTTAAACATATGAGAGAAAATAGGAGCCAAGGAGGTGAAGAGATGTGCCCCAGGCCACTCCAGGCCAGCTCTCCATCTGTCTCATCACTTCCTAGCTTCAATCCAATTACTGTGCCCAAGGACACTGGGGTCCATGGAGGCTGTGACTCGCCCAAAGGTCATCATGTCAAAGGTGGGATGTGAACCTTGACCCTCTGACGCCAAAGGCCATCTATGCAACCCCCTCATTTCTGGGAGGCAAGGAGGAGTCAATTGAAGGTCACTTGGCTAGTTAGGGGCAACTGGGCTAAGGAGGGCGCAGGGCCACAAGGGAGCGAGGCCACTGTGGTTTTGGGATGGAGCCGGCCCTGTGAAGGGAGCTCCCAGAACCGGAGGCAGCCTCTCCAAATCCAGGGGTGCACGGGTTGTCCCTCCCCGCTTTCCAGATGACTCTGTTGCATCACTAATGCTCTGAAGTCTGACTTGGTTTTCTCCCCGCCCTCCTTTCTCTTGCATAACTGACCAGATGCACTCGCTGTGATTTCTCTCTGTAAACAGCAGGTATTAGCTGTTGTCTGTACCCAGTGCCCAGGCAGGCCTCGGTCCCCGCTTCCCTCCAATCTCCACCCCGCACAGTTATCTAACAAAGAAACCTGCTCCTATCCTGTCCCCAGCGCCAGCGCCCTAGTGCCACTTGACAACTGCCTGCTGGAACTGTCGCCAGCCTGACCTGCACTCACAGATACCCCCAATCCCTACCAGGGCCACCACCATCCTTTGGGGGAAACCCACAGGCCCTGCCCAAATGGAGCAGTCCATTGCCTTGGAAACAGGCAGGAAAACAGGGCCATGTCAGAGGCAGCTGTGCAGGCCTCCTCCGCCCCCAACCCACACAGAAATTGAGCTTGGTCCAGGAGACCAGATGTGAGAACAGGCTGTGCCCGGTTCTCAGGGTGGAAAACCTAATGGATTTTCCCTTCACCCTTCTCCACGGATGTTCCTGCTCACTCTCCAAACTGTTTGGGAACTGGATAGGACTTCGGTCCTGGCCAAACCAGAGGGAAAAGTGCCTGAGGATGGGAGGAACGTGAAACCTGAGCTCACTCCCGGCTCCATCTCCCACTCCTCTGGCTCCTCCAGAGGTGTGGGAAAGGCCCAGCCTCCTGAACAGTCAGCTTCTGCCCAGCCTGAACCAGTGTTCACCAAGGCCAATTCCCAGAAGCCAGAAAACCCAGACCCCAAGGAGGCCAGATGGGGGGGGATGGGATAGCTGATGCCAGGATTGCTGAGAAATGCAATCCCTCTCTCTAGTCCAGGGATGGGGAGCCTCTGGGCCTCGAGGCCACATATGGCCTTCTGCGTCCTCTGGTACAGCCTTTTGACTGAGTCCACGTTTTACAGAACAGATCCCTTTATTAAGGGGATTTGTTCTGTGAAGTTTGGATTCAGTCAGGGGGCCACACTTGAGGACCTAGAGGGCCACAGGCTCCCCACCCCTGCTCCAGCCCATGCCCCAGGGCTGCCATCTAAGTTCACAGGCTCACGAGTCAAGAGCCGGAAGGTGAAGAATCTTAAGATCATAGTTCTATAGCCAGAAGGGACCTCAGAGACCTCCTGCCCCCATTTTACAGAAGAGGAAACTGAGGCCCAGGGAGGTTAAGTGATTAATCCACAGTCACAAGCAATAAGACCAGAAAGCAGATCTGATTCCAGAGTCAGTCTGTTCACTTGGAAGGGTCCTTCCAACCTCCCTGGGAGCCTGCCTTCCCCAGGGCCGTGGTGACCGAGAGGTTACCAGGGTCACACAGCTTTGGCTAACTCCTTGGTCTAGCCTGTCCCGCTGGGCAGTCTTACCAAGCCCAGGAGACCCCGGGGCAACCCCTCTCCCCACACCTCTTTACCTTTTCAAGTGTTCTAGCAAGAAGAGGAAAGTGATGAGGTTGGGGTCGGGAAGGGTCCGGAGAAGGTGCATCATACAGTTTTCCTTGGCAGCAGGATCTGAGAGGGCTGGAGACAGACAGGAGAAAACGGGTCAGCAAGGGGGCAAGCTCGTCTGGATGAGGCGCATGCCCAGGCCTCACCTACAGAACCCTACGCATCTGTCTGGCTGAGTGACTCAGAGGAGCAGGGTGGGGTGGATGCCCTCTGCTGTGCCCAGGACTAACATGACCGTCCTGTCTCCCCAGCTTCCTGGCAGGTGGGTTCTCTTTACAGACCTCATGCTGGACCCTTGGACCTGGGGCTCGGTAAGTCTCAAATCAGCAGAAAGAACTGAGGATCTAAGTCTGGAAGGTATCTCAGAAGTGACCTAATCAAAGTCCCTCTTTTTTTTTGCTTTTTGGTGAGGCAGTTGGGGTTAGGTGAGTTGCCCAGGGTCACACAGCTAGTAAGTGTCAAGTGTCTGAAGTCAAATTTGAATTCAGGTCCTCCTGATTCCAAGGCCAGAGCTCTATCCACTGCGCCACCTAGCTGCCCCAAAGCCCCTCATTTTACAAAGAAGGAAACTGAGGCCCAGAAGGCAACTTCAGAAGTCAGCTGATCCAACCTGGACGCTATCCCTGACCTGTCTTCCTGCCTCCGGGAAATACACAGAGAAAAGAGAGAACGCAGTGAGGTAAAATTCGCTGCAGCTGACTAGTCTTCCTTGTGCTATGCTCTCCAATTAGTCTGTGAGCTCCCTGAGAGTAAAGGACTGTCTAGTTTTTTTCTGCTTGTATCCCCAGCTCTCGGAACAGCGCTTAACACAGGGTGAGCCCTTGATAAATGCCTTTTCATCCATTTACTCATTAACTCATCTCACCCAACATGTGCCTCAGCAGCTGGCAAAGCCTGTCCACCTTCTGCCTCCCCCTGCTTCCCCTCTGCTCCTTCTTCCTCTGCACCCAGCCAAAGATGCTAATGGTGTTTTGTTTCCTGTTACCATTTTTAATAAAGCAGAGCTGGAAGGCTGGAGGAGGAAGCGCAGACTACCTCACCAGAGCTTGCTGAAAGGGTCAGAGGAGGCGATAGGGAGTGAGGGGACTGAGTCCTGGAGAGGACAGGGATAAAGGGGGAAGCTGGCAGCAGCTGAGCCAAACCCAAAAGTTCCTCCACCAAGGGCCGCTTTACTCTGATGGTCCCTAGTGTGGGCAGAAGGGTCAAGAAGGCAGGCCATCCTTGAATGGTACAGCTGAGGGCAGAGAATCCCTTTCCTTGAGTCCCTCTGGCAAATGGGATTGGACTCAGAAAGCCAGTCCAGGCTGTGCTCATCAGAGAGCCTCAGCGTTCTAAGAGTTGCAAGGCAAGAAGGAGGGTGTTAGAACATGAGTAATTATGGATTGGAGGAGGAAAGCATGGGCATGGGATGGAAGGGCAGGGAGAAGATGATGGGGCCAGGGGGTCAAACCTATGAGTCAAGAGCCAGAGCACACAACAGAAAAAGTCTAAGCCGTTCCATTAGGATCGGTTATGTTCAAAGGCCAGCCCTGTTCTCCTGGGTACTGAGCACTACTGAACAAATGGCCTGAGATCATCCCCAGTGCCATTACGGCTTGTAGGTTTCTAGTGGACCTGGGAATTTAAGGCATTTTGGGCTCAGAAGTCTTCCTCCTTCAACCTAAATGAAAGGAAGGGGCAGCACTAATAACCAGCCACGTGTTACTGTTCCCTCCTAACTGCTCCTGCTCCCCAATCCCAGGAGCCCCATCAGAGCCCTCAGGAACCCAGCTGAAGTCTCACCGATGCCCTCCATGAAGGCTGGATAGAGTCTGTCTGTGAGGAGGGGCTCTGGGAGCTCCCGGAAGTAGAGCTTCAAGGTCCCCGCAATGGCATTGATGTCCATGTCACTCAACATCACCAGCACGTCCTTATTGTCTGGAGAGGAGAGGAGAAAAGAGGAGTGGGAATTAGTCACCCCCACAGAGGCGCAGAACGTCAAAGCTGACTGCTAGGAATGTATCCAAGCCATCCCTGATAAGGGTTCTCCTGGTCTCTATTTTAAGACTTCCCGGAATGGTGAGCACATTACCACCAGTGTTGCCCATCTCAGTTTGGAGAGCTGTAATTGTTAGGGAGTTTTTCCTTATCCTGCCTAAAATACACCTTTGTGGAGCCAGCAAAATCCCGCCACCTTCTTCCCTCACAGCCAAAGAGTGCATATGTTGTTTGATCTTGTTACCATTTTTTTTTTTAGCTAAAATCTGCTTTGTGGCAGTTTCCACCCATTGGTCAAATTCTCCTCTCTAGGGCCAAGAAGAATAAGTTGGGTGCACCCCACTTATCAACACATGCATCTTGGCAGCTTTTCAAAGTATTTCCCTCCTATCTTGGGGCCCAGGAGTTTCAGAGCAGTTCTCTCTTCCCCCAGAAATGACAGGTACCATATTTCCCTATTCTATTCATGCTATGCTAGGAAAACTGTCAGAAGGATTTTTCCTGCAGGCCTGGCCAGGGGCCATCGACATGGGGGGTGGCTATAAGCTGGCATGAAGGGCTTTCCTGGTAAAAGGTTTCTTTCCTCATACAGGGTTCCTGATAAAGGGTCATAGATGGAGGGCCAGAAGGGACCTTAGAGGCCAACTAGTTCAACCTGTTACTTTACAGATAAGGAAACTGAGGCTGTGAGACATTAGGTGACTCTGAGGCCCAGCTTGAAAGCCAGCCTTGCTCTAGGCAGCTGGGGGCACAAGAGATCAAAAGTGAGACTTGGCAGTCACAAAGACCCGAATCCAAAATCCTGCCTCAGACATTTGACTAGCTGTGATCCTGGGCAAATCACAACCTTTCACAGCCTTGGTTTCCACGTCTGTACATGAGATAATAACAACCTCTTCCTCCCAGGATTATTGTGAGGATGAAATGAGATCATGTTTGTAAAAAGCAGCTTGTAAACTTTAGAGTCCTATATAAATGTTAGCTATTATTATTATTTTTATTATTATTACTCTGTTTCCTACATTATGCTGCCTCTTCAATATCCCTGTTAAGGGTAAGGCAGGGCCAAGACAAATCCATGAAGGTATCTGTGATTCAGCCCTGTCTGGAAAAGCTTGGGACTTACTGAGTCCTTGCTGGGGACTGAGGGTAGAGGATACTATGCCTTGGGGCTGGTATCTGGTTTGCTTTGCCCATGACTCTCTTATGTGAAGACTGGAGAAGGGGACGGGGGAGAGAGAGAAAAGTCAGTTCCATGATCCAGAACTCTGGGGCCACATTAATACCGTACAGAGGCTCTGTCCTCACTGACAGTCTCAGCTAAGCCCCTCTCTGGAAAGCTCGACACATTTTTTACACCTAAAATCATGTTCAACCAAGCCTTGGTTTTCAGGCCATGAAGAGAAATCTGGGCCAGGAACAATCAGCTTTGTGCCAGTATCTCCCTCAGCCTCCTGGCCCCATCCTGCCCCCTTCATTCTCCCAACCTCTCTCCCTCCCACCCCAAAGGATGTCATCTTCTGTGCCTGCCAAGGGCCACCCTTCAGGGCCTCTGTCACTGCTGGGGTTGGGGTGGGGTAGAGGGGAAGAGCCAGGGAGAAGGTTCAGGCTGGTTCTTCAGGAGCTGTCCAGCTCAGCCTCTAAGGGACTGGCCTGGTCTGCCCAGACCAGTTTGGCTATCCCAGCAGGCAGGCAGGCAGGCAGCCAGTCCATACCATGTACTAAGTACCAGTAACAAGACACAGCCCTAGGCTATCACTACAGGATCGTATGAATGAAACCAAAGGCTCTGGTCCAACCTTTGACTGTCTTAGGGCCTTAAAAGAGAAGGCAGGACAAATATACAACAGAGACTGATTTTATTGGTACGGAGATGTCCTGGGTGAGGAAACTACTTTTGCCAAAATAAGTTGGCCCCTTCTGTGCAACTAATAGTTTTAGAGACTCTTAACCTGGCATCTTGAACTTTAAAACAATGTATATTTTGATACATTTGCTTCACTGTAATTGGTTTCCTCTGTAATCCTATGTATCTTATGCTTTTAAAAACATTTTTCTGAAGAGCCCGTAGGCTTTAGTGGACTGCCTAAGGAGGCCATGAGATAAACCCTTGTCTTAGGGGGTTACCCAGAACACCGGACAGTGAAATGATTCACCCAGGGTCCCACAATGCCTCTCAAACTCTACTGAGACCTCAGGAGCCTGGCATCCAGAAGCCAAGAAGTGTGAGCTCAGGGCTTTTAAATCTGTCTCCACTGAGTACCCTGGGAATGAGCACAGGAGTCAGTTTCCAAGATGTAAGCTGTAAATTTCAGCTTTGTCAGATCCAAGGCTCCCCACTACCTGCAAGTCTAGGCAAGTGTGGGGAGAACCCCTGAGAGCCAGACAAGAAAGTGTGGAAGTCCCACCCTCTGCTCTCTGTCTTAGTCCATGTTCCCCAGCCCCCACCCCCCCACCCAGGTCCTGGGGTTCCCCTGGGACTCACTGGCATCAAAGACAGCCTTCAGTGCCTGGATGTCAGTGGCCACCCCCGAAATCCGGTAGATTCCGATTTCCTCAATGCCTCTTTTCTCTACCTCCTCCACACATTGCCGGACGATGTAGGGTACCTTGGAGCGCTCTCGCCTGTGGAGGCAGGGAGTGGGCAGCACGGTGACTACCTTTGCTATGACAGCAGAGTCACCTCCCCTTACCTCCCACTCACCTGACCCACTCCCATTCCCTGACCTTGGGCGGCCCTGGTTGCTTGGACTGGGGAGGGGAGAGGCAGGGAAGGGTGAGGAGAACAGAAGGAGATACCTACAGGGCTTGCTCTGTGTGTGTGTGTGTGTGTGTAGAGGGTGGGAAAAGGGGGTGGGGGTATCAGATCAAGGTACACAGGGTCTCTGTTCTCCTCTCACAAGTTGATACCAAGATAAGGGTCATGTACAAAATGTTTGGGCTTCATGGGAGGGAGGCAGATTAAGCAGAAACCCAAGCAGATGGAAGAGGGAAGAGGCTTTTCCTTTGGGAAAACCCTAAGGAGTTTTGGTGAGAATGAACACACCCTGGGGGACCCTCCCTACAGGAGAATGAGGTATCTGTTTCCAGGGAAGAACCTCACCTCCCAGTCACAAAGACTCTCCTTTCTGAGATAAGACACCAGCTGGGCCGAAAGCGTGCCCACCCTCCCCCCAACATATCCCAGGATTATAGGATCCCAGATGTAGCGCTCAGAGAGACCTTAGAGGCGGTCTGGCCCAAGGCCCTTCATCATCTCGATGAGGTAACTGAGGCCCACAGAGGTAAGCGATTTGTCCAAAGTCACACAGGGAGGACATGAGGAAGGCAGGATTTGAACCCAGGACCTCTGTGACTCTAAACCCAGGGCTCTTTCCCTGTCCTAAATTGCCTTTTCCTAGAAGATGTTGCCTCGACACCTCACTCAGGGCAGTGGAATCTCATCTGCCCCTGGGGGGAGAAGAGTCAGAGGGAGCATGAAGCAGCCAACTTTTGAATCACTCAATCAATAATCATTTGTTAGGGAACGATGCTAAGCACTGGAATCATAGCATTTCAGAACTGGAAGGGATCTTAGAGATCACTTAGCCCAGCTGCTCCCACTCCTTCACTTTACAGAGAAAGACACTGAGGCCCTGGGACTTGTCCGAGGCTACAGTTAGGTGGCACAGTGGCTAAAGTGCCAGGCCCAGAGTCAAGAAGATTCATCTTCCTGAGTTCAAATCTGGCCTCAGACACTTATTGACTGTGTGACCCTAGGCAAGTCACTTAACCCTGTTTGCCTTAGTTTCCTCATCTGTAAAATGAGCTGGAGAAGGAAATGGCAAATCTCTGCCAAGAAAACCCCCAATGGGGTTTGAGTGGAGATCTGAACCTAGAATGTTGGCTTCCAGTGCAGGGCTCTTTTCATTCCACCCCTTGGGGAGGTATGAGTCTGGCGGGGAGTGGAGGGGCCTGGGGCACTTGGATTGACAGCCTAAGGAATATAGGTTCCAGGAATGGCACATACTTTGTCACGACGCTGATCTTCACCCCAAACACTCCTGTCTGCTTTTTAGATGGGGTCCTCTTCAGGCTCATGTCCCGGCTGGTGAATTTCATGGAGAACTCCACCTTGATCTGCATCAAGGAAAAGGCCAAGTTGGGGCAGGGTTGGGGCAGGGGTAGTTAATGCCCTGGAACGACGATGTTGGAGACCCCAACAAGGGGATGGACACAAAGGGATCAAGATGTGGGAAGGCAGGTCCAGCTGCTGGGTGGGCAAGACTAACCCAAGGAAAACTCTGGAAGCAGCAGGAAGCCGGGGAGTGACACCATGCCACGCTGGGATCCCCTCTATCTCCCATGGCCTTACCCCGTTCATCTCGATCACATCCATGTGCCAGTTCTTCGTCTGCACAGTCTGTGGGTCCAGCTGCAGAAACAGAGGAGATGGGGAAAGTTACACATGGCACAGCCTCCGCCACAGGCAGAGGAAAATGCCTCTCCACCAGCCACCAGGGTGTGCTGACTAGATCTTTCGGGCTCCCAGCTCAACTGTAAGCTCCTTGTGGGGAGACCATCCTGAACTTTTGTATATCCTGAGTAGCACCTAGCACAGTAAGGAGCACAGAGCGGATACACAATAAATATCTGTTATACCAAGGAATAAACGGATGAGACTCAGCAGGACAGTCACACTGGGAGCCTAGGACAGGAACTGGCAGGTTGTGAGGAATAAGAAAGACAGGGAGAATGGATTAACCACCACGCCAAGAACTGTGCTGGTGCTGAGGAAACGTGGACAGTAGTCTCTGCCCTCAGAGAGCTTACCTTCTATTGCAGGAAGCAACAGGTATAGATATAAGCACAAACTAAGCACTTATTGCAAGTGCCAGGCACTATGCTAAGCCCTGGGGATAAGAAGAAAGGCAGAAACGTGATTCCTGCTCTCAAGAAGCTCCCATTCTAACAGGGAGACAACACACAGCAACTACGTACATACAAGACACATACGATGAAAACGGAAGGGGATTCCCTTCCCAAATAAATGCAAAATAATTGGGGGATGGGAGAGGTACCAGCATCTGGGGGAATTGGGAAAGGTCTCGTACAGGAGGTAGAACCTGCGCTGAACTTTGAGAGAAACTAGAGGTGCTAGGATGTGAGGAGGGATGGTGCTCCAGGTATGAGTCTCTGGCATCTCTGTGCAAAGATGTGGAGATGGGAGATGGAAAGTTGTAACAGAACACCATGTAGAGATCTTAAGTGACCCAGTCTCAGAAAAGGAAATAGATCTAACTGTAAAGGAACTCCCGGGGGGGGGGGGCGGGTGAGGTGGGGGAAATCTGGTATTGATGAATTTGCAAGGCAATTAAATCAAACTTTTAGAGTGCTTTCTTAATGTGTCTATGCAAGTTATTCTCAATACCCGAGGAAATAAGCACTCTACCAAACCCCCTTGTATGATACAAAGAGAGTCCTAATACTTAAACCAGGGAAGGATAAAACAAAAAAAGGAAAACTACAGACCAATACCATTAATGGATACATATTCAAAATTTTTAAATGAAATTCTGTCAAGCGGATTATCTAAGAAATGGTTCATTCTGACTGAAGTGGATTTACACCAGGGAGGCAAGGTTGGTTCAACAATAGGAAAACAATAAACATAATATTTTTTGAAAAGCAAACATCTAAAACTACACAATCATCTCACTAGACAAAGAAAATGCCTTTGACAAAGTATAAAATTCATTTATGCTAAAAAAAATCCTACAAACTACAGGCATAAAAGGAGTCTTTTTTAGTATCATAAAAAATAACTATTTCAAAACCAAAAGCAATTATTATATATAATGGAGAGGCACTAGAAGTTTTCCCAATAAATATAGGAATTTTAACCCCATTTTATAGCTGAAGAAACTGAGGTTCAGAGGCAAAGTAGATAGTCCAAAGTTATAGCGACACAAGTCACCCAGCACCCTAAGGAACAGGAGGGGAACCCCAAGGACCTTGGGAGGAGGCCACCTCCGGGAAAAGGCTGCTGGTGGCAGACACAGCAGAAGACAGGGAACACTGATCCCGGAGCTCCAAGAAGAGCCCCCAAGTTTCTTGGGGAGGTCCTTGAATGGTAGGAAAGAGCAGCTCCTGATGCCCCCCAAGATTCAGTTCACTGAATAGGACCATACACCGAGAGCTGGAAGGGGCCTCAGAGGACATCAGAACCCAGACTTCTCATTTTAGAGATGAGCAAACGGAGGCCCAGAGAGGTTAAGTGACTTGCCCAGGGTCACACAGAGCAGAGATTCTCCTCACTCCAAATTCGGCACTCTTTCGGCCACACTCTGCTCTTGGGAGAAGTGTGGTAGACAAGGAGCTGATCTCAAAGCCAAGAAGACCCGGGTTCAAGTCCTACCTTTGGCACATACTGGCTATGGGACCTTAAACAAGTCACATCCCAGTGCTCTAGGCAGCTCCTTATGACCAGAAGTGGCGACAAGGTGCCGCCCTGCATCGTTAGGAGGAAAGTGATCCCTAGGCTCTCAGGTCCAGCCCCTTTTCCTTAATCTTATGTGTCAATGAACGCCGCCCCAACTGTTCCAGCTTAAATGGAGATCCCTTCACCAACCACCCACTCCCACCGCGGTCTAGACAATATTCAGCACTCAGTCACACACTGTCTCATGGACGCTTTCTAAGGAAGGTACGGTGTCTTCTTCTTCTGTCCCCACCCTCTACACCCCCAGTGCCCAGAACGGTGCTGGTCTAATACTAGGTGGCTGACTGGTCGTTCAGATCTCCCCTTCCTCCCATTCCCTCAGAGGGGTACCAGGCCCCTCTCTGCCCCCCACAATGCCAGCTCTGTCTCTGGGGAGCAGAGTAACTTCCATAAGTCTATTTCAGGATGTCATTTTAATGCAGAGAAGGGGGGGGCATGGAGAGGGACAGGGGCACATTTTCCAGTGAAATTATGTCTCTTGAATTGCTGTGGCTATTTATAACCCCTGGGAAATGTGCACTCTGCTATTTCCTGATTAGATTAGTGGTCTAGGGGTGGGGTAGGGGTGGAGGGTGCGGGGACATCAGGAGGGGGCTGGATGCTTGGCAGGGGCCCCCTCTGCCTGGGGGCCCTTCCCGGGGCGGGGGGGGGGGGGGGGGGGGGGGGGGGGGGGCACCTGAGAGCATCCTAGCATGCTGCCCTGCATGACAAAGGCTGCCAAACAAAACTAAGAATGGAAGAAAAATATGAGGCAGTCAGAATCAGAAAATAGAGAGAGTCAGAAAGGACCTCAGGGGCTCTCTAGTCCAACCCATACAGGAAAGGAATCCCCTAGCCTCTGCTTGAAGCCCCCCCTCGAGGGCCCCCGCCAGCCCCCTTCCTCTCCCGACCAAAGCAGCCCACTCCCCGGTGGGGAGATTCTCCCTGGAAGGTTTTCCTGACATCAAACCTAGACTTAATTTATCCAGAAACATTTACAGGCACCCACCGCGTGCCAGGTGCTGGGGTTACAGAGACAAAAATCCACCCACACACACCCCCCTCTCCACAGGAAAGCCCTTCAGAAACCTGAAGACAGCTCACCCGCCTCAGCTGACTCTTTGCCCCCAGTTCCTCTGACTGACTTTCATGACACGGACTCAAAACCCTTCTTTGACTCTGGAGGACTTAAGAGCCGACCGCTGCAGTGACCAGCCACCATCGTACAGGCTCCAACAGAGGGAGGTGGAGAAGGGGAATGCACACGTCCCATATGCAGAATGGGACATTTTAGGGGGCACGTGGTCGATGAGGGAACTGGTTTAGCTTGAAGATGCACGTGAGGAGGGTTTTGTTTTGTTCTGTTTTTACTGGAGGGGAGGCAGAGAGAGAAAATGAATTTTTAATTGAAAAAAGAAAAGTTTGTTAATGGGGGAGTGGAGAGGACGCAATGGGAAGCAAGCTGTATTTACAATCAGGTCTTGCCTCTGCCACTTAGTACCTGAGTGACCTCGCGCAATTCACTTTACCACTCTTGGCCTTAGTTTACCTCAGTAAAAGGAGGAGGCTGGATGCGATGGCCTCAAAGTGCTCTGACAGCTCGACATCTATACGCCTTATAATGTCTTCCCACTCGACCGATCACAAAGAAATGAGTCCGCCCTGCACTGCAGGAAGGGAAGAAGCAGCATAGGTGGGGACCAGCTGGAAGGGCTTCAATGGTGGATGGAAAAGGGGCCCAGGTGTGTACAGATGTGGGAACACAGCAAGCAGGGTGAGGGCCGGAGCTGAGACTGGAGAAGACGGAGTGAGTGCCTCACGGTCCTGACTTTTTGATGTAATGAGGCTGCCTAGGATGAGAAACCTCTGGGGAATGAAGCAGGGGCAGCCCTCGCTTCTTCCCTACCAACACACACACACGCACACGCACACACACACACAACACACACACACACACACACCCTTTTTTCTTCACTGTCATGGATTCACAGAAAGGATAGCTGGGTGAGACGAACTTTCAGGGTCAGGGTATTCATTATGTTAGGATTGGAAGGGACCTTTAGGATCATTTAGTCCAGCTTTCCCATTTCTCAAAAGAGGAAACTGAGGCCTAAGGGAGTGTAAGTTGGCTAACACAATCCAAGGGAGAAGAAAGTATACTTCAAAAGCCTTCCAGCCAATTTCCTTTGTTCTTTCCTTCCTTCCTTTTCTTTCCTCTCCTTCCCTCTCCCTCTTTTCCTCCCTTCCTTTCCCTTTATTTTTTCCCCCAGATTCCAGGCCAGCCCTCTATACATTAGATGATATTGTTTCCATAGTATTACAAAAGGCGTTCCAAAGGCTTTTGGGAATATTCTATATATAAAACTGGGAACTTCTATTCCCTGTAAATTTCCTATTCTTTTCAGGCCAGCTTGGTTAAAGAGCCCCAAAGGGAAGGAATTTCTGTTCCTTCTGGGAATTCTTTCCTCCTGGGAAAAGCACTGGGCTGAGAGTTGGAAGCCCTGAGTTCATATCCCAGCTCTGTAACTTCCTACCCACCACAGGCAAGCCTCTTTAATTAATTTAATGGAGGGCAGGGAGGAGAGGGGGAATGTTTAGAAATGACAATGGTATTTTTAAAAGGCATCAATAAAGTTAAATTAAGCCATCCAAAGATTGTTGAAAGCGACTTCCAGGACGGCTGAGTGGCCTGTCCCTGAGCATGGATGCCTGAGTCTCCCTGTTCAGTTTTTCCTCCCTAACCTGGCACAGTAAGGGACAGCAGGACCCTTTTGTGTTCTGGTTTCATGTTGTAAATGGGAAGGAGACTCGGAGAGAAGGGGAAGATGAAGGCCAGGAGACCGGTTCCCTTCTCCTCAGAACTAGGCAATCCCTCCAGCTGGTCCCTCCTACTGGCCCTCGGCTACTGCTTCGAAGGTTTGGGAAACAGCGGCTTTTCATCTCAGCGCAGGGTC